CTTCCCCTCCTGCGCTGTCCCTCTACTTTACCCAGCATGATGTCCCTCTCCAAAGACCTGTCTCTCCTTACAACATGTCCAAAGTATTTACTTGTTTTATTAATAATACAAACACATCTGACTACGTAGGCCATAACAGATTATGAATAACATTGAGAAGAATGGGAATTCCAGAACACTTCATTGTGTTCATATAGAACCTGAACTCAAACCAAGAGGTAAAAGTGAAAACAGAGTAAGGGGATACTACATGGTTTAAAATCAGGAAAAGTGTTGGCAGGGCTTTATCCTTTTAGTGTTGCTGTTGTTAGGTGCCACTGAGTTGAGTATGACTCATAGCGCCCCTATGAACAATGAATTTGAACCTTAGCCTATTCTGTTCCAGCCTCATTATTTCTGATATACTTGAACCCATTGCTATACTGTGTCATTCCATCTTGTTGAGAGTCTTCCTTCTTTTATTATTCCTATCCAATGTGGATATGGAAAAATCTGAGAAGCTCACCTATGTAAAGAACTCAGCAGTATGACTGGAGATTCATGAACAACTGATGGCTCAGTCTTGTTGCAGATAATGAAGAAGACCTGAAGTACTTATAGGTGGAGATTAAAGACTGTACATAGCCCTAGTGTGGGCCATAACATAAAGAAATTGAAAAAATTCTAAAAACTGTACTAAACAAAAACCTGAAAAGCATAGAAAATGTTGAAGGGTATCGAGGATTTCATTTAACTTAGATCTACAAGCTAATGAATAAGGAAATCTGAAGAATTGAATTATGTTGGCCAAGAACAGTGGTTCTCATACACCAACTGATCCATTTTTTGGAAACAGATTGTCAGCCTTTTCTTCTCAGTGCCTCTAGTTGATTTAAACCACTAACATTTCAGTGAATATGTAAACATTTGCTAGAGGCTTATATAGATAGAACACATATATGAGAGAGGAGGATATGTGTGTAGATAAACATATATCAACACACACACACACACACACACACACACACACACACACACACACACACCTATCTATGTAATTATGAAAGAAACAGTGGTTGGTTGACACACTCCTATTAGTAGAGTGGTAAATGTGAAGTTCTCAGAAGGAAGGTATATTAACCATTCTGGAATAGTTCCAGGCACAGAACCTGTGTCTAATAAACACATACCTAACTTGGCAGTACTCAACTATGACTACATGTAGAATCACTAGGAAGTTTTCACAAGTCCTGATGCCCAGGCTGTACCTCGACCAGGTGAACTAGAATCTCTAGGGTGTAAATAAGCAGTGGGATTTTCTAAATCCCCCCAGAGTGGGTCTAAGGACTCAGCAAGTTTGTGATCTCAGAAACAGAGCAGACATAATACCTAAGACCACTAACAATATTTAAGGGAGATGACGATAGGCCAGAAAAGGAGATGAGGTAACTTGAAAGGCTTAAGTTGGGTAGAGTGGTGATCTCCTAAACCTAAGGTTCTAAACCAGTAGGTCTATTGCCTTGCTTGTCCTAGAAGATTTGGAAAAACACTGTGCCTGATATTTTGACACAAAGATTAACCATATGGCTGTTAACTGAAAACCTGGTGGTTTAAACTTACCAACTGCTCCATGAGAGAGATATGGTAATCATCTTCCATAATTTTTGCAGCCTCAGGAACCCTATTGGCAGTTATGCCTTGTTCCATAAAATTTCTGTGACTCAGATTGAAGTTGTTAACAATTTCATCTTGCTTGGGTCCACAATCAACACTCTTGGCATCAGCAACCAAGAAATCAAATTATGTATCACATTAGGTAAATTTGCTGTCAAAGACCTCTCTAAGGTGTTAAGGAACAATGATGTCAGTTTAACGAATAACGTGCCTCTGATTCAAGCCATGGAATTTTTCAATTACTTGTAATGCATCTGAAAGTTTGACAATAATTAAGGATGACAGAAATAATTCTTTGAGTTGTGATGTTGGAGAATATTACTGAAAATCCCGTGGATGCCAAGAGAACAAATATGCCTTAGAGAAAGTGTAGCCAGAATGCTCCTTGGAGGCAAGGATGGTGAAGCTTCGTCTTACATATTTTTAGTCTATTTTTAGAAGGGGCTGGTCCTTGAAGAAGGACATCATGCATGAAAAGGTGGAGGGTCAGTGAAAAGAAGGTCCTCAATGAGATAGATTGACAGTTACTATAGCAATGAGCTCAAGTATATCAGAGCTGATGAGTATGGCACAGGATGGGACAGGGTTCATAGGGTCTTTGTAAGTTATAGTCACTTGATGAAACCTAACAAAACAAAATTAATCAGAAACTATTGGATAGCAATGAATTGGGCCCTGCTAATGGAGCCAATGTTATGTGGGGGTGGCTGTAGCCAAGTATGGGTTCACCTGTTTCATAAAGGAGAACTGTCCCCATCAACAATATACATAGTATCAAATATATAGCTGCTTGATCAGACATGCCATCATCCCACATGCTCCTCTTTCTACCAATCATTTGGGTCAGATATTCATTGTTGACTCATGGATTTTACTCACAGTTGTGGGACTGAGAGTGGGTTTTATTATGGAAATAGGTTGGGGAGTAGAAGAGGTAAAGAATATCACCTAATACAAGTTCGGGTGTGGGCCAGCAGTCCAAGCCAGATTAACAGCAAAATACAGCCCCTCAATTGGTTACCGTCCTAGTTTTAGTTCAGCAGTACAAACTCAAGAAGCCTCTTGTTTCCTTAATCATCCAGCAAGGTTTACCTCAGAGTATTTATACATCAGCTTTTCTTTCAATGACCCAGCAAGCAAAATCTTTAACTGTGACCTTTATCTTAGGGTTGGCAATCTCTTCACAGCAGTTCCACAGTCTTTCATCTCTCCACCACTGTCACCAGGGACTTGCTCTACAGTGTGGAAAACTCTCTCTCTCTCTCTCTCTTACACTGGTCTCACAGCTGTTGATGATTTGCAAGACTGTACAGGGCTAACTCAATGGTTAGAAAAGCCAATTTTCAAGGGTCTGACACCCAAGAGTCCATTCACAGAGACTTAATAATTGTGCAGGGACTGGGTGTAAGGACCATTTTAAAGCTCAATCAGGGTGGAAGTCACTACTAGATATGATCTGGATCCACTTAATTTTCTGACTGTATCTCTCACACTGATGTTCTTCTTCCTTCAAGCACAGCAAGTCACCCATGTTCAGAGGTATTGTACTTTCTATCCTTCTTCTTAGCTTTAGCAGGACTGGGGCCAGGGTAAGGCAAGTGAAGCACTCACCTTGGACATAAAATATCCTGGAAAGGTTTAAACCGGGCTGTTCCTTGGAGGCAAGAATTCTAAGGCTCCGTCTGACATAGTTTGGACATGTTGCAAGGAGGGACAGGTCCTTGGAGAGGGACATCATGCTTGGTAGGGTGGAGGGACAGCACAGGAGGGGAAGGCCCCCTATGAGGTGG